CTCTTCTCCAGTCATACTTCGAGTGCCTTCCAACCTGAGGGGCTCATCTTCCTGTGCTGTCTTAGACAAAGTTGCCCTGCTATTCATAAGGTTTTCAGTGGTCTACTTTTTCAGAAGTGGACCTGGCCACATCCTTTTTCACAGTCTCTCTTAGTCTGGAAGCTCTGCTGAAATCTGTCCACCATGGGTGACCCTACTCATATTTAAAATACCAGTAGCATATCTCCCAGCATCACAGCAACACGCAGTCCACCACAGTTCAAGCAACTGACAGACAGATGGTGGTAAAACAATAAATGGTTATTATCTCAGAGTGGATCTAGAATCCAAGAGCAGCTTAGCTAGGTGGTTCTGCTCAGGATCTCTCCCAAGGTTGCAGATAAGATGTTGGCCAAGATTGCAGCCTTCTGACAGCTTGATGAGGACTGGAGGGGTTGCTTCCAAGGGTGTTCTTTCCCACTCGTCTGGCAAGTTAATGCTGGCTCTTGGCAGCAGGTCACAGTTCCTTAGTATGTGGGCCTCCCCACAGTATCACTGAAGTGTCTTCCTGGTAACAGCTGGCTTCCCTCAAAGCAAGAAATCCAAGAGAGAAAGAGAGGAGAGGAGCCATGGTGGTTTTATGATCTAGTGTCAACATGCCATCATTTTTGTTGCTGTTATCCACTACGAAGCTGACTTCTGATTCATGGTGACCCCACGCACAACATAATCAGACCCTTGTAATCCATGGGGTTTTCATTGGTTAATTTCTGGAAGTAGATCATGAGGCCTTTCTTCTTAGTCTCTCTTAGTCTGGATGCTCTGCTAAAACCTATCCAGTGTCACAGTAATACAAAAGCCTGCAGTGACAGATGGAGGGTGGCTGTGCACAAGGTGCACTGGCTGAGAACTGAACCTGAGGCCCCAGCATGGAAGACAAGAATTCTACCAGTGAACCACCACTGCCCCCTACATAGCACTTTTTGTTGTGTTCCATGGAGCTGATTCTGGCTCACAGTGGCCTTACATGACAGAGTTAAACTGCCCTATAGAGTTTCCTAGGCTGTAGAGTTTACAAGACAGATCACCAGTGAGCATCTGCTGGGTTAGAACCACTGACCTTTTGTTTAGCAGCTGAGTGCTTAAGCATTGTGCCACCAGGACTCCTTTACCATTAATTCCACCATATCCTAGTCAATATAAGCAAGTCACTAAATACTTCCCACACTCAACAATAGGAGAATTAGGTTCCCCCATTTGAAGGCAGAAGTTATCAAAAAACTTCCAAGTGTCCTCTTCCATCACAATGCTGTTCTCCTAATGGCACTTGTCCCTTCTCTTTTTGCCATTTTTTTTTCTCCTTTTAACTCATGTGGACTTTGAAGTCCTTCCCTGCAGTCCATGCTCTGGTGTGCCCAGACACTTTTGAAATGTTTTTATACTCAAAATGGATTTAGTCTTTCTAGTGGAAGTTTTCCATCATCTGTTGGCCCCTTTACCAGCATCCCACTCCTGTGTGAACCACTGTTTTTCTCAGTCTGCAGTTGCTCACCATGCCTTGTAGCTGATTGAAGGTGGAGCTGAAGTGAGAAAGCTTTCATACTGGTATTTGGCAGTTGTCCTCTTTTACCTTTTTAAAGGTGTTTGGCCTTCAAGTTGTGCTGAAGGCATGGTTTCCATGTAGATTTACATTTCCCTTCTTATTGTGTTATATATTTTGGGATGATGTATTAGGAAGCATATCCATTGTCTTCAGCTACCTGGAAGTCTCTCTATAGAACTTTAAAAGATGGTACTCATAAAAGGATATCAGGGTTAAATTTAAAAAGGTGGAGAAGAAGGAAAAGAGGAGGGGAGGAGGAGGAGAAAGAAAGGGAGGTGGGTATGAAGGAGGAAGAGGAAGAACAACTTGTTAATAGTGTGGAACATATTAATAATATGGAAAATATTCAATTAAACAAAGCTGACATCCTTCACCTGGCATTTGTGATTACAGAACCTGTGCTTAGGGTGTTTACATGCATCATTTAATTTTATCTTATCAAAATTCTAAGCAACTTCTGTTAATATCCCCATCTCACAATTGAGCAAACTGAAGATCAGAAAGTTAAATGTTGTTGGTGTTGTTAGGTGCCATCAAGTCATCTCTGACTCATAGCAATCCTATGCACAACAGAACAAAACACTGCCTAGTCCTGTGCCAGCCTCATGATCCTTGCTATACCTGAGTCCATTGTTGCAACCACTGTTTCAATCACTCTCATTGAGGGCCTTCCCCTTCTTCATTGACCCTTCACTTTACCAAGCGTGATATCCTTCTCCGGGAAATGGTTCCTGCTGACGTGACCAAAATAGGTGAGATGAAGTCTGGCCACTCTTCCTTGAAAGGAGCATTCCAGCTCCACTTCTTCCAGTACAGATTTGTTAGTCCTTTTAGCAGACAATGGTACTCTTAACATTCTTCTCCAACACCACAACTCAAAAGCATCAACTCTTTGGTCTTCCTTATTCACTGTCCAGCTCTCAAATGCATAAGAGGCAATTGAAAATACCATGGCTTGTGTGAGGCACACCTTAGTCTTTATGGAGACATTTTTGCTCTCCATCACTTGAAAGAGGTCTTTTATAGCAGATTTGCCCAAGGCAATACATTTTCCAATGTCTTAACTGCTGCTTCCATTGGTGTTGATTGTAGAACAAAGTAATATGAAGTCCTTGACAACTGCAATCTTTTCTCCATTTATCTTGAAGCTATTTATTGGACCAGTTGTGAGGATTTTTGTTTTCTTTATGTTGAGGTATAATCCATACTCCAGACTGTGGTCTTCAATCTTTGTCAGTAAATGCTTCAAGTCATCTTCATTTTCAGCAAGGAAAGTTGGGTCATCTGCATATAGCAGGTTTTTAATGAGTCCTCCTCCAATCCTGATGCCATATTCTTCTTCATATAGTCCAGCTTCTCAGATTATTTGCACAGCATACAAGTTGAATAAGTATGGTCAAAGGACACAACCTTGATGCACTCCCTTCTTGATTTTGAACTGTGCAGTGTCCCCTTGTTTTGTTCAAATGACAGCCTCCTGATCTATGTACAGGTTCCTCATGAGTACAATCAAGTGTTCTAGAGTTCCCATTCTTCTCAATGTTACCCATAATTTGTTATGATCCACGCAATTGAATGCTTTTGCATAGTCGATTAAACACAAGTAAACATCTTTCTGGTATTCTTTTCTTTCAGCTAAGATCCATCTGACATCAGCAATGATATCCCATGTTCCACATCCTCTTCTGAATCTAGCTTGCATTTCTCTGTCATTATACTGCTGCAATCGTTTTTGAATTATCTTCAGTAAGATTTTACTTGCATGTGATATTAAGGATATTGTTTGATAATTTCCACATTCTGTGGGATCACTTTTCTTTGGAATGGGTATATATATGGATCTCTTCCAGTCAGTTGCCCAGGTAGCTGTCTTCCAAATCTCTTGGCATAGCGGAGTGAGTGCCTCCAGTGGGGCATCCATTTGTTGAAACATCTCAGTGGGTATTGTGTCAATTCCTGGAGCCTTGTTCTTCACCAATTCCTTCAGTGCAGCCTTGACTTCTTCCTCCAATACCATTGGTTCTTGATCAAATGCCACCCCCTGAAATGGATGAACATCAACCAATTCTTTTTGGCATAGTGACTCTGTGTATTCCTTCTATCTTCTTTTGATGTTTACTGTATCGTTTAATATTTTGCCCGCTGTTGTTGTTGTTATATGCCATGGAGTCAGAACCAACTCATAGCGATCCCTCCTTGGGTTTCCAAGGCAATATCACTATGGAAGTAGATTGCTCAACCTTCCTTCTGAGAAGTGGCTGATGGGTTTGAACTGCTAGCCTTCTGTTAGCAGTTAAGTGCCTTAGGCACTATGCTTCCAGAACTCCTATAGAATCTTTCAATATTGTGACTCAAGGCTTAAATTTTTTCCTCAGTTCTTTCAGCTTGAGAAATGCTCAATGTCTTCTTCTCTTTTGTTTTCCTAACTCCAGGTCTTTGCACATTTCACTATACTAATTGGCTTCATTTTCTTGAGCTGCTCTTTGAAAGTTTCTCTTCAGCTTTTTTGTCTTTTCATTTCTTCCATTTGCTTTAGGTACTCAATGGCAAGTTTCAGAGTCTCTTCTGAGATCCAGTTTGGTCTTTTCTTCCTTTCTCTTCCTTTCTTGTCTTTTTAATGACCTCTTATTTCTTCATGGATGATGTTTTTGATGTCATCCCACAATTCCCCTGGTTTTTGATCATTGGTGTTCAATGCATCAGATCTTTTCTTTAATAGTCTCTAAATTCAGGAGGGATGCTATCAAGGTCATATTTTGGCTCTCGTGGACTTGTTTTAATTGTCTTTAACTTCAACTTAAATGTGCATATGAGCACTTGATGGTCTGTTCCACAGTCTGCTCCTGGCCTTGTTTTGGCCAAAGATATTGAACTTCTCCATCACCTCTTGCCACAGATGTAGTCAATCTGATTCCTGTGTATTCCATCTGGTGAAGATGATAATAGAAAATTAAAAAGTTCCCTTCAGTCACCCAGGCAGTAAGAGGTAAAGCTGGGATTCAAACCCATGCAGTGAGAGCATGGGATCCTCACTCCTATTATTGGTGCCTTTGCCAGGTGGAATGATAATACTACATAACCTACAAGTTCTTTAAGCAAATACCCCAAAGTAAGCACCCTCAAAGGAGGCCAAATGTGTTACATATCAGTCGATTTGCTTAGTATTTCTCCTCTGCCTTTGGCCACTCTGCTTCTGACATCTTCATGTCTGTGGAATGGTGAAAAACAGTCAAAGGAAAGCCACTTGCTAAATATGGAAGGCTATCTAGTTTTAGGCTTTCATTAAAAATATAAAAGGAAATGGTGACTTTGTTGTAGGATATGTTAAGTTTGATGAATTTCATATCATTAATTATTTTTCTATGTAAACTATTAAACTTCACATGATTTCTTCATGTTCTTCTTTAACACACTGCAGGATGAAGAGGAGCTACTCAGTGGTAAAGATGACCATGACTTCCTACTGGGCTTAGACCAGATGGCAGAAGATTTTGTAGCAGTCAGACCTGCAGACTATGAAAGCGTTCATGTCCGGATGCAGATGGAAAAAGAAATCTTGTTTATACCCAGTAGGCTGAGAGGTACGCACTCTTTCTAATGCTCTGCTTGACTTTGACCCCTTCATTTTCCTTCAAAGGAAACGTGGATAGTGTGTAAGGATGTCTAGTTTACATAACTGACTCCAATTTTTAATGTGATCTAATAATCAAGAAGTATTTTCAAACAAAGAATACCTCTACCTTGTTGTTGTTAGATGTTATCACGTAGCTCCAACATTATGCTCTCATGGAGAGCCCAAGCACAACAGAACAAAACACTGCCTGGTCCTGTGTCATCCTCACAATTGTGGCTATGCTCCAATCTGTTGTTGCAGCCACTGTATATCTTGAGTGCTTCCCAACCTACAGGGCTCATCTTCCAGCACCACATTGAACAATGTTCTCTTGTGATCCATATGATTCTGGAAGTAGATCATCAGGCCTTTCTCCCTACTCTTTCTTAGTCTGGAAGATCTGCTGAAACCTATCAACCATGGGTGGCCTGCTGGTATTTGGAAACTGGTTGCATAGCTTCTGGTATCACAGCAACGTGCAACCCACCACAGCATGCCAAACAGACATGTGGGTAGTGGACAGAAAATACAGAATACAGAAAAATATCCATTGAACTAACACTTACATATGGATAGAAGAGCAGAAGTCCCAGGATGCTGTGGGAGCAGCCCCTCTATCAAATTAGTGACCGGTGTGGGGACTGAGAGGATGTGAGACTTGCAACTTGGACTGACTGTGGTCCCTTGGTGTTTTAGGAAATGGCCATTGTACTGGAGATGGGACCTTTCAATTAATTCCCAGTTATGACTCTTTACTTCCTTTGCAGCCTGGATTTCCCCTGGCTTTTTGTTCTCTTGGGATTTCCTTTCCTTCTGCAAATGTCCAAGGGGTATCATGATCACCCAGTTACTGTTGTTGTCATTAGATGCTTTTGAGTTCATTCCAACTCATAGCAACCCTACGTACAACTGAACAAAACACTGCTCAGTCCTACACCAGCTTCACAATCCTTGCTATACCTGAGCCCATAGCTGTAGCCACTGTGTCAATCCATCTCTTCGAGGGCCTTTTACTTTTTTGCTGACTCTCCACCTTACCAAACATGACATCCTTCTCCAGGGAGTGATTGAAGTTGTCAGAGATTTCATATTACTTGGATCCACCATCAACACCAATGGAAGCAGCTGTCAGGAAATCAGATGATGTATTGTACTAGGAAAACATGCTGCGAAAGACCTCTTGAAGCTGCTGAAGAGCAAAGATGTCTCTTTGAAGAGTAAGGTACACCTAACCTAAGCCATGGTATTTTTAATCGCTTCGTATGCATGTGAGAGCTGGACAATGAATAAGGAAGACCGAAGAAGAGTTAAATCTTTTGAGTTGGGGTGTCAGAGAATATTGGAAGTTCCATGGAATGCCAGAAGAACAAACAAATCTGTCCTGGAAGAAGTGCAGCTAGGATGCTCCTTGGAAGAAAGAACGGCCAGATTTCATCTCACCTACTTTGGTTATGTTGTTAGAAGTTACCATAAAATCACTAAGTAAATAAAGCCTGAAATAGAGCTCCCCTCAGAGTTCTCTTACTGTCTCTTAGTATTTCTGCTTCAAGTTGGGAAGGAGAGGGAGGGAGCAGATCATGATAGAATTTTGAATGTCCGATTTCATATTCATTTCTCAACTTCTATTTAGTGGTGTAGTGCCTAAGGCATTTGACTGCTAACCAGAAGGCTGGCAGTTCAAACCCACTAGCCACTCCTCAGAAGGAAGACTGTACAATCTACTTCTGTAGAAATACTGCTTGGAAACCTAAGGAGGGGTCGCTATGAGTCATAATTGACTCGACAGCTGTGAGTTTGAGTTCCAATTAAATGTTAAATCACAGATGAAGCACTGTTTGATTTTGATCGGTTATTTTGAATCATATTCTGATTCAAAAACTTAACAAATGTCTTAAAGTAGACTAGTTACAATGAAGCTCATAAAAGAGGAAGGAGAAGAATAGGAAATCAACTATTGGCTAATCTTAGCATGATTTCTTGAACCCTGCCTCCCTCCTTTGACTGAGATCAGCTGATATCAGATTACCAGTGGTCTCTGGCCTGGCTGCTAAAACCTTGGCCCTCTACCCACCTGCAGTCATAAGACATTTTGAAATTTACATTAAGTAAGCCTAAAGTCTTTTTCTGGTGGCATAGTGCCCAAGGCATTTGACTGCTAACCAGAAGGTTAGTAGTTCAAATCCACCAACCACTCCTCTTCAGGAAGATTGGGCAATCTACTTCTGTAGAGATACTGCCTCAGAAACCCAAGGAGGGGTTGCTATGAGTCAGATCCAACTCGATGGCACTGAGTTTGGTTTTTTGGGGATTTGAGAGGCTTTTTCATTAAATCATGTAGTAATGGTGTGTAATCAGCTACCCTTTGAACAGGAAAGAAAATTTAATTACAACTGTGGATTAAAAAACATGCTAGGGAAGCCACCAAACCAAAAACAAACCGAACTTACTGCCTTCAAGTTGATTCAACTCATAGCAACCCCTCTTTGGGTTTCCAAAGCAGTATCACTACAGGAGTAGGTTGCCCAATCTTCCTTCCAAGGACTGGCTTGTGGGTTTGAATTGCCAGTCTTCTGGTTAGGAGTCAAATGCCTTAGGCATTATGTTACCAGAGCGCCACATCACCAGAGTAGAGTGCAATTATCCAGGGGTGTAGGAAGAAAACATAAGACTTCTACTTATATTTGTTTTCAATCTCACCCTTTCCTAATTAACCTTTGTATGTATTAATACTGGGAGCGCTGGTGGCATACTACATTTAAAAAAATAAATAAATACTTCACTGCCATCAAGTTGATTCCAACTCATAGCAACCCCCTTCGTGTTTCCAAGGCAGTAAATCTTTATGGAAGTAGATCACTCAGTCTTTCTTCCACAGAGTGGCTGGTGGGTTTGAACTGCCAACCTTCTAGTTAGCAGTCCAATGCCTAAGGCACTGGGTCACCAGAGCTCCTTATAATACACATATTAGTAACTAAATAAACTGGGTGAATACTCAAAAATATTTCAACTGAAAATTGTGAAAGCCACTGGACTAGATGAACTAAGTTCTAGACAAGTGAGCAGAGCTGCACAACAGAAGGAAGTGGAGAAGAGTCGTCTGCTGCGTGTTTTCTGAGGATGCGGGCTTATTTTTCTGGGAACAGTGGCATTCTTTTTTCTTTTCGTGAATGCATAGGGGTGGCAGAGTATCCAAGTGGTCACACCCTGAGAAGTTAGCACATTTAGGGATTTGACGTGGTTTAGAGTGAGACAGCATACCCACAACAGTGGTGTCAAACATGCCAAAGACATGGAGATGGAGAAGGCCCAGGCAACGTTTTGTTCCATTATACAGAAAGTCGCCATGCCTCAATGCCAACTCAACAGCCGTTCACAACAGCAGCACCACTCTCTAGAATGGTGGTGAGATCTTGGCTTATTGTTGTTGCTCCCTGTTGCTCCTGCTAGAATCTGAGATCCAAGGCAGCAGTGGCATTTCCTAAATCTCAAACCTAGGAAGTGCCTGGCACAGGAGACTCAGTAAAGATTAGTTTTATGAATGAACCAATTGAACCAACAAGTGCATGAATGAATGAGGTAGTGATCATGTTTACTCAAATAACTTTTTAATTTACAGAGCATTTTCTCATACTTTACGTTATTTCAATTCACCCCAGTACCCTGTTTTGGTTACCTAGTGCCACTCTAACATAAAATACTACAAATTGGATGGCTTGAACAAACTGGAGTTTATTCTTACAGTTTTTGGAGGCTAGAAGTCCAAGTTCCTAGTGTCAGGCTATAGGGGCTGGGTGAAGGTCCCTCAACCTTGAGCTTTAGCTCTGACTCCTGCTCCTGGTCCACTGAAGCTGGAGTCTTTTCTTCACTCAGGCAGCTGCTGGCTGCTGAGGCTGACAAACCCAAGGCCGACAACTAAAAAGGCACAGTCCCCAATATTATCAAACAACACAGCAGGCCATTAATTCAAGTCCCAAGATCAGCTGGGCATGGCAGGCTGCTGAACAACACTTGGCTACATGCAGGGTCCAAGCGTGCCATAAGCTAGAGACCTTCCTTGAAGTTGCTTCTTATAAACTGGAAACAGCCCACATCCCTAAAGCAGCTATTTAGCTGCTCCAGTAGATTCCATCATGGAATTAATTACCAATCTCACCATGGCGAATAACTACATTCAATTACCCAGCCACTCAACCAGGCCCAGCCAAATTGACACAACCTTTACTACCACATACCCAGTGAGGTATATATTAATATTTCCTTCTGGAGAGAGGCATTCAAAGAACAGATGTTCCTGGTCCACACTCGGTCAGTTAATGAGCAGCAGAGCTGGAATTTGACCTAGGTCCTTAGATTTTAATGTTACAGTCCTCTCACTAGGCCACACTGGTGAACTAGTGAACTGGAGAATGAATTATTTAGGTTTTATCCCTTAAATACATGATTTAATACATGATACAGTAAGCAAATGCATTCCTCTTCTTCTTCATTCCACTTGTAGGAGTTAATTAAGAACATTTGGAATTTTCGAGAACATAAATCTCTGGTGGTTGTTTTTGTTTGTCAAATCCCAGTTTGAGGTGTATAGGTTGGCATTGATGGTTCTTTCATTTATTTATGAACTATCTAGTTCCTACCTATAAAAAGCTTCCTGAGAACGTGCAGCCCAGATTCCTGGAAGATGAAGGCCTTTACATCGGGGAAAGACCAGAGATGCCACGCAGGAACCAGAACATTGCAGAGAACAGGTTGCTGGTGCAGGAGCCTGTAAGTGTGTGTATACATGCCCACATGTGACCCACACACAGTCTCCATAATAGCTCTTTCCCTGACAGGGCAGCTACTGCACCCATTGTCCCCTTTTCCTCTTGAGAGTGTCTGCAGAATGTTGTTCACTTTCTTAACTGTGTCTATCAAGACATTTATTGATCCGCAAGCACCACAACCTCTCAACTGTTCAAAACCACTTCCTGCTAACTACGTCGGTGCTTCTCCTGCTAAAGCAAATCTTGGCAATATTTTCCCAACTTATGGAAATTTTTAACTTTCCTACATACAGTGTTCTCCATTTCAAATTTTTGTCCTGTGGTTTTTCCTTCACTCTTCAATTAATAGAAATTAATTTTTTATTGAGTACTCATTTAAGCTTTTTCTTAACTTTTTCGGGGGGAGGGAAGAACCACGTGTTAAGTTAATTGTGGAGGATGTTAGTGAAATCTCTATTTCTAACGAAAACAGAGGCTTTGAAAATTCTACCAGGGGCTGGGGACCAGGGAGAGCATTTGCTGACATAGAATTTTTCTCTAAATGTTGTTTGTTTTGTGAACTATTTTCCCTCCAATTAGAAGAAAATGCTGTCCTTCTCTGTGCTTGATTTTCAGGGAAGAGGATGGTTTGGAGATGATGGCAGAATCCTGGCACTGCCAAACCCAATTAAGCCATTCCCTGCAAGACCCCCAGGGTTAAAACAGGAGGAGGATGTCAAGGCAGAGCTGGAAATGCTGTATAAAAAGGTAATCCCCAGCCTCATTTTTATGCATGGATTTTCTTGAATGTGCTTTTCTTTGTGAGTAGCCTGAGGCCCTGAATTCATAGCATTCCACCTTGATTTGTTTTGGATCTTTTTTTTTCTTTTTTTCTTTTTTTTTCATGTTTTAAATTCACTGTCTTAGACATAAAGAAGAAATAACAGGTATTTTATATGAGTGACTCTACCTTTGCTCCCCTAATCATTTCTTACAAGGTAAATAGTTTTCACTAGCCAATCATGTTGAAGTCAGCATCTTTATTTGCATATCTGGATTAAATCAAACCAAACCAGTAGACCTCATGTTGATTCTGACTCATGGTGACTCCATGTGTGTTAGAGTGGAACTGTGATCCATAAAGTTTCCCATGGCTGATTTTTTGGAATCAAGGTATACCTTGGAAGAAAAGCCTGGTGATCTACTTTTGAAAATATCAACCCTTGAAAACCTTATGGATCACAGTTCTGCTCTGACACACATGGAGTTGCCATGAGCCAGAATCAACTCCATGGCAACTAGTTACGAGGGAACTAATCGAAATGAGCCAGATTGACACAGTGACTGCAACGATGGGCTCAAGCATAGCAAGGATTGTGAGGATGGTGCAGGACAAGGCAATGGTTCCTTCTGTTGTACACGGAGTCACTATATGTCACAATCGACTCTACAGCACCAAACAATAACAACAATCCAAACTTTGGATTATTTGCTCTGCATACAGATTGAGTAAATATGGTGAAAGCTTTCAACCACCAAAATGCTTTTTAGAAGTGAAGACAGTGAGACTTTGTCTCATGTACTTTGGATGTGTTATCAGAAGGGACCAGTCCCTGGAGAAAGACATAATGCTTTATCAAGTAGAGGGTCAGCTTAAAAGAGGAAGACCTTCAATGAGAATGGATTGACACAATGTCTGAAACAATGGACTCAAAAGTAGCAATAATTGTAAGGATGATCAGGACATAGGGTGTGCTGTGTTCTGTTGTATGTGGGGTTACTTATGAGTTGGAGCCAACTCTATGGCTCCTAACAACAACAGTCCAAACCTAAAGGCAGTCCAAACTGCTGTTGCCCTTCTTCCTTCCTCATTCTTTCCCCTCTCCCTTCCCACTCCCTTTTCCCTGCCTGTCTTCCTTTCTTTAATTTTATTTTTTGAATCCTTAACTGAAAGTCTACTACATTCTTAGCTATGGTAGGCTCTGGGAATATAGAGGCAGCAGCACTCAAACTTGGCCCTAGAAACACTTTGTGCCTTGGGTGGAGAGAGAGAAATGTAATCAAGTGATAGAGGCATTGATTAGAAGTCAGGATAGTGTTGCTGTGGGAATATACAGGTAGGAGTCTTCCCTTTTCAAAACTGCAAACTAATTTGAAGAATTCATCATGATTCCAACCTCCATGTCAGCTTTGTTGTTGTTGTTAGGTGTCATCAAGTCGTTTCTGACTCATAGCAACCCCATGCACAGCAGAACGAAACACCGCCCGATCCTGCACCAGCTCCATGACCTTTGCACCCTCCGTGTCAATCCATCTCATCAAAGGCCTTCCCCTCTTTTGTCAACCCTCCACCTTACCAAGCATGACATTCTTCTCCAGGGAATGGTCCCCTCTGACAACATGACCAAAGTAGGTGAGAAGAAGTCTGGCCATTCTCGCTTCCAAGGAGCATTTTGGGTGCACTTCCTCCAGGACAGATCTGTTAGTTCTTTTAGCAGTCCATGGTATTTTCAGCATTCTTCACCAGCACCACAACTCAAAAGCATCAACTCTTCTTTGGTCTTCCTTATTCATTGTCCAGCTCTCACATGTATACAAGGTGACTGGAAATATCATGACTTGTGTCTTAGTCCCCTTCCAGTATTCTCAGTAGTTCACCACAGAAACTTTGGTCACCTACTACCTTGTAACCCAATACAAACTGTCCTAAGCAAAGAGGCAACATGGTGACTCACATAACTGGGAAGTTTCTTGGTATAATCATACAATTAAATGAGGAGCTTTAGGAACCAGAAGTCAGGGGCTAGGACCAAGGACTCAGTGTTGGCAGGTCTGTCTCCACCTCTCTTTTCTCTATTTCTCCTCAAATGTTGACTGGCCTCTTTTTCTCCTGTTGTGGGCAGGTCAGAATTTTTCAGATGTTGGACAATATGACCCATGAGGGGGTCCACAGGAAAGTGATCATATTTTCCCCCAAGGTTCATGTTATCAATACCAAGGAGAGCTCTTGTCAGTGGTGAACTGGGTAGCTACTTCATGTCCAGGAGATATGGCCTGTTCACAGATGGGTATCTTACTTACTAGTGCCACTGTAACAGAAATACCATAAGTGGGTGACTTTAATGAACAGAAATTTGTTTTCTCACAGTTCAGGAGGCTACAAGTCTGAATTCAAGTCATCAGTTCCCTCTGACCACTCTGAGGGGAGATCCTTGTCTCTGCTTCTGCAGCACCAGAGTTCATGTGACAGTCGACCCCCTCCCCACACACACACACACACACTCTGTGCTCACTTGTCTCTGTGTCTATGTAGCTCCTAACTCAGAAGTAATTAGGTTTACAATACACCCTATACTGATATGGAGTAGTTAACATAACAAAGAAAAACCTACTCCCAAATGGGGTTATATCTACCAGTGCAGGGGTTAGGATTCCAACACTTTGTGGGGGTGGGGGAAGAGACACAATTTGGTCCATAGTGATGAGCAATTAGAGATTCCCAGGGACCAGCAGAACAATAACTGTAGAATCTACTGCAGGCTCTGGGCTGCACTCAGGCTCTGCTGCTGTTAGTTTCCCAGGGCAGAGGTAGAAACAGGTATCTCAATCCCACCAATGGCTATTACTTTTCTGTACTTGTTCATCCTTTTCTCCTTTGGCATGCTTCTCTGCACATGCAAGTCATCAACAGACATCTGCCCCACCTTGGATTGGTTTGGTTTCCAGTTTTCAGTTGAAAACTAAAGATGTGAGATAAGGAAGATGGTGTCATACCTGTAGCCCACACATTTGTTCCCTCTTGCATCTTAATTCCTGAAAAGCTATGTGCAGCAGTTTGAAGCAGGGATTCTGGGGCTAGGAACAGCTCAATAACTTACAGAGGCCCAGATTTAGTGGAGACAGAGAAAAAAAAGCACAATAAACAGCCAGGAAAAATAAACAAAACTGCCCAGCTGGTGGGGGAGAGAGAGAGGCAGAGAAGCAGAAAACTCTTTAGAAGTGCAGGAGAGAGCCACAGAGGAAAAAAAAAGGGGGGGGGGAACACTACAGAACTCATGTCAGCTTTGGGGAGTCAGACTACCCACACCATGAGTTTCTGACAGTAACCTTAGGAACAGAGCTGAGTAAGTGGATAACATTTCTGAGAAACAGAGCAGAAACTCCTGTGGCTCAGGATGCCTCTGAGTTGAGAGCAGAAAGGGGGAAGGGAGGAAACTCGCCACAGGTAGGCCCTGGGATGAGCTTGTAGCTCAAGGCTGAGATTCAGCTCTTCCATGACAGCCTTTTAGCACAGAGTGGACCAGGGTATGGGGTTTTTGCAGCTTTCCAACCTAAATAGAAGCCTCCTAACCATTGGGGTCTTTGCCAATTTTGAACCATGGGTCTGTGAGTGACAACAAAATGTCATCACTAGTAGCCATCCCAAGCAGACTCAAAACAAGACCCCAGAGCCAACAGTAATTACAGAAACATGGAAAGCAGGGACTTGCTACTACCACCTTTTGTTTTGTTTTGTTTTTATCTTCCTCTTTTCTCCCCTTCTCCCTTGCCTCACTAAATAGAAGAACCACATTAAGCCACCATAAGACCTACTCATCTCAACTCTAAATCCCCTTCACAATGGACAAACACCTGCATCCACATTCCCCACAGTGATTCCATCAACACAAAGAAAACTGCAGGGCAACCCAGCACACCTGAATTAATAACCAAAAAAATAAAATACACTAAATCCACCCTTGCAAGCATATTTAAACATGAAATCAAGGTGAAACAAATCAATACATAACTAACAGTTAAAGACAACAACTTTAAAATGTCTAGGAAATAACAGGCCTCAAATCAAACAAA